GAATGCAACGATCTATAACTTTAATCATATGTACAGTGGGGGAAATAAGTATTTGACCCCTTGCTGATTTTGCAGGTTTGCCCACTTACGAAGAATGCAACGATCTATAACTTTAATCATATGTACAGTGGGGGAAATAAGTATTTGACCCCTTGCTGATTTTGCAGGTGTGCCCACTTACAAAGAATGCAACGATCTATAACTTTAATCATATGTACATTCTAACAGTGAGAGACAGAATCCCAAAGAAAATTCCAGAAAATCACATCATATGAATTTATAAAAATTGATAACCATCTGATGAGGAAAAATAAGCATTCTTTGTAAGTGGGCAAACCTGCAAAATAAGCAAGGGGTCAAATACTTATTTCCCCCACTGTAAGCACCCACCGAAAACCTCGATACAATTCAATTTCTATAGCGCCACATCACAACAACAGTTATCTCCCAGCTTTCCAACCAGAACAGGTCAGAAACCCAACAGAAGTTGTTTACAGAAGCAATTCCAACAATTCCCACCAAGAGCAAGCACTAGGCGACACAGGGAAGGAAAAACTTGGAAAAGAGGGCGAGAGGTTTCCAGGTTCAAAATACAATGTATACGATATAGAAAATACAATTTAAATCTATAGCTCCACATCACAACAACAATTATCTCCCAGCTTTCCAAACAGAACAGCTCAGAAACCCAACAATTGCCACCATGAGCAAGCACTAGGCGACACAGGGAAGGAAAAACTTGGAAAAAACCTGGAGCGACGGCTCAGGGTGGGGGGGATGGTTTAAATAGAGATCATTTCTGTTGAAATTTATTTAAATTAAATTAAATTATTTGCCGATCAGTTAGTTTTTCATGGTGTGTATTTTAGCGCGTGCAACTTTTTGTGCGTTTTTAGTGGTGTGTGTGTAAAGGTTAGCAGCAGGGTCTCCATTAAAAGTAATGACTAATGAGAAGAAAAAACCTGGTTAAAATGGAGAAAATTTCAGTTGTGATTTTGAATAGTTTGCAGATCAGTTAGTTTTTCATGGTGTGTATTTAAGCACGTTCAACTTTTTGTGCGTTTTAAATGGTGTGTCTGTGAGTGTAAAGGTTAGCAGTAGCATCTCCATTAAAAGTAATGAGTAATGAGAAAAAAAGCCTGGTTAAAATAGAGATAATTTCTGTTGTGATTTTGAATTGTTTGCTGATTGGTTAGTTTTTCATGGTTTTCCAAGCTCATTGCACAACTTTTGGTGCGTTTTTAATGGTGTGTGTATTTGTGTGTAAAGGTTAGCAGTAGCATCTCCATTAAAAGTAATGACTAATGAGAAGAAAAAACCTGGTTAAAATGGAGAAAATTTCTGCTGTAATTTTGAATAGTTTGCAGGTCTTTTTTTGCCTTTTTAAATTGTGTGTGTTTTTTTAAAGGTTAGCAGCAGTGTCTCCATTAAAAGTAATGAGTAATGAGAAAAAAAGCCTGGCTAAAATAGAGATAATTTCTTTTGTAATTTTGAATTGTTTGCAGATCGGTTAGTTTTTTAAATAATTTCTGGTGTAATTTTGAATAGTCTGCTAGTTTTTCATGCTTTTTCGGAGCTCGGTGCACAACTTTTTGTGCATTTTTAATGGTGTATGTGTCTATTAAGGTTAGCAGTAGCATCTCCATTAAAAGTTAAAAAAGCCTGGTTAAAATGGAGAAAAAATCTGTTGTAATTTGAATAGTTTGCAGATTCTTTTGTTTTTAACGGTTTTCCGAGCTCGGTGCACAACTTTTTGTGCGTTTTTAATGGTGTGTGTTTTTTTAAAGGTTAGCATTAGCATCTCCATTAAAAGTAATGAGCTCTCCCTGTATGGCCCTGCACATATTCCCCCCCCAGACTCCTAAACCTGCTACCTGTTGAGGCTCTACTGCCTCCATAAACCTCTGAACGGGAACGTTTACATCCCGGATGCTTTTTCAGGGGAAAACCACCGAGGTCTGGTGGCTCTGAGTGTGTTCGGTGTGTTCAGAGTCCTACTGTACATCACACATGACCTCATTAGTGCCGGCCGGTTATTTTTAGCTCCTCCTCTATTCATCAGCCAAACAGCCCCAGGAAACCAGCGTTTGTGCGTTTGTGTGTTTGTGTGTTTGTGTGCGTGCGAACGCTTAGGTTACACTTTGTTACCGAGGGGGGATTTCCGTTTCAGTCAGACTGGAATAACACGTTTTAGCTTTTTTCCTTTTCTTTTTTTTTTTTGCCCCATACATTATTCTAGACTTTTCTTTTCTTTTAGTTTTTCTCCCAAACTGTTGCTTGTTTTTCTGTGAACGACTAAAGACCACCGTCATTTATATTCTGGAGCTAGTTAACAAAAAATGGAGGCATTGATAAAGATATAACTGTGTTTTATGCTCATTTATTTGCAGCATTTAACCCAATAATGCCAAATGTATCATATCTGATATATACGGTTTCTGAAATGTTTTGCGTCTGACTCCTTTTGCATAATTTAATGGTAAAAACTTTGCTCAAAATCCTATTGTACACAATCAGATACACCTGATAACAGGGGAAAGAAGACTACACAAAAAATAATGTGGACTTATCGCATAGTAATAAATTATTAATATTAAAAAGGCATTTCTGTTTTTTCTTTTTACACATTTTGTTAAAAGGCCAAATAAGGAATTCAAAACAAAAAAAAAGTAATTTGCTGATTTGTCTTATTCTTGAATCAGGCTTTAAAGGGTTAAATCCTTCTTTTTTTGCCCCCTGCATTTTTCTAGACTTTTCTTTTCTTTTAGATTTTTCTCCAAAACTGTTGCTTGTTTTTCATTGAACGACTAAAGACCGCCGTCATTTATATTCTTGAGCAATTTAACTAAAAAACGGAGGCATTGCTAAAGATGTAACTTGTTTCTTATGCTCATTTATTTGCAGCATTTAAATCCTTTAAAGCCTGCTCCAAGAAAAATAGGAAGAATATTTGATTTTTTTAGTCTGAAGTCTTTCTTTGGCCCCTCAACAACATATGAAGAAAAAAAACAGAAATTATATTGATCAAATTAGCGTGCAATAAGTCCAAAATATATTTCGGTGTAGTCTTCTACTGGCTGTTATCAGGTATATCTGAATGTGGACAACAGGGGTTTGAGCAAAGCTTTTACCACTGAATGATGCAGAAAGTCTCAGATCCAAAAGACTTCAGAAACCGTATGAATCAAATATGACACATTTGGCATTATAGGGATAAAGCCTTCTGTGCTCCAACAGTAAAATTCACTCCTGTTTTTGACTCATGCTCATAACTCGTGTTCAAATGGGAATAAAACATGGAGGTTGCATAAATCTGCGTAATATTTGGTTGAATAGGCCAGTGTTTTTCAACCACTGTGCTGTGAGTGATGGTCAGGTGTGCCGTAGAAAATCTTCCTATTTCACCTAATTGGTCTAAAAGATTTTTTGATAAGGAATTAATTATCTGCAAATAATGTGCCATTTTTGAGTGTCTGTGCTGTTCTAGTGACTGGTGGAGTAATCATGTAATAATTCCTTATGACTAGATTTTGTATATAATTTTGCATATTGAAGTGGACATGTTAAGAGCAATTTGAAAGAAGAAATATAAAATATGATAAAAATAAATGTTTGTGTTTATTTGATTCCTATTCAAGACACTTAGGATAAGATAAGAATAACTATAGTGTTACTATAGGCAGCTACAGATTTGTTAGACATTTTTGGTTGGTGGTGTGCCTTGTGATTTTTTCTATGAAAAAA